GTCAAGGAGGGCTTCCTGGAGGTGGAGATGTGTGAGCTGAGACTTGGAAGGTGAATGGAGTGGGCAGGAAGAGTGGAGCTGTGTGCCTGGGGGTGTGTAAGGGCCTGGAAGTGAGATGGAACGCAGTATGTAGGGAAACAGAAAGAAGTTAAATCCAGTGGACCATAGACCAGAGCCAGGGGTGAGAGGGCAGTGGGTGCTGAGAGGTGAGACTGAGTCCCCTGAAGTTTGCAGGCGTTGGAGGCTGTGGTGAAGAGCTTGGATTCCAAGGGCACTGGGGAGCCATGGATGGTTCTGAGCGGGAAGGGTCTGGGTTGAGTTTGGGCTTTTGAAAGATCCCTTGGGCTGCTTTGTGGTGGGAGAATGGGAGGAGGCAGGAGTCCAGGCAGGAGGCCGGAGCAGGGAGGGGACAGAAGCTGCCTGGCCTGGGGCTGGGCTGCAGGGATGGGGGAAGGCCAAGTTCCAGAGGCCTGGAGGGCGGGCCCTGGTGCCTGCAGTGAGAGTGGGGAGGGCAGCGTCCAGGTTTCGGCTTGGGCAGCTGGATAGATTCTCTGTGTTCCCAGAGGGGTAAAGAAAGGGGCAGAGACGGGGTGGGTGCATAGTGGGGGGGCTCCAGGTAGCCGCAGCCCTCGTGCGTGGCTCTGTGCGGTCCTCTGCTGCCCCCTGCTGGCTCAGGGCTGACCCTGTCTCACAGCAAGTCTGGCAATAGTGACGACCCAATAAACACAAACCCCAACCAGTGAAAGAAGGTGACATTTCTGGAGTGACAATGAGTCAGGCGCTACAAGGCACACTCATGCTCACTGTCCCCACTCCCACACCCTGACTCCGGTCTTCAGCTGCCCCCTCCTGCTGACTCAGGACCCACCTCTCAAACCCGCCTGCTCTCTCCACTCCCTCCCTTCCTCCCTCCTTCCCTCCCTCCCTCCCTCCCTCCCCATCTTTCTCTTTTTTCATTCTCTTTCTTTTCCTTCTCCACCTCATTTCTCCCCAACTCCTCCTCCTTCCCCAACCCCATTTCTCTCTTTCTTATCCTTTTTAATTTAATTTTATTTTTTTTAAAGACAGGGTTTTACCATGTTGGTCAGGCTAGTCTTGAACTCCTGACCTCAGGTGATCCGCCCGCCTTGGCCTCCAAAGTGCTTGGATTACAGGCATGAGCCATCACGCCCAGCCCTTTCTTTTCCTTTTTAAAAATGTTTTGTGAATGCCAGGCACAGTGGCTCACGCCTGTAATCCTAGCACTTTGGGAGGCCGAGGTGGGTGGATCACCTGAGGTCAGGAGTTCAAGACTAGCCTGGCCATCATGGTGAAACCCCATCTC